TATTAGTATTAGTATTAGTAGTAGTAGTAGTATTAGTATTAGTATTATTATTATTATTATTAGTAGTAGTAGTAGTAGTAGTAGTAGTAGTAGTAGTAGTAGTAGTAGTAGTAGTAGTAGTAGTAGTAGTAGTAGTATTTTGCTTTCCTGCGTTTTGGGAATAAAAGTGACTCCAGGATGGGCAGCTGAGGCTAGACAGCAGTTCTGCCCTTCTAGAGTACTATGTAGAAAACAGGGTTTGACACCCTTAATTCTTGTAAGCAGGAATTAATCAGAAATGTAACTTTGCTTCTAGACAGATTGTGCTTTCTCTGCCCTGGCCCCCTCACCTTTTTGCCTCCTGTGTCCCATTTTGTCTGCATAGTGTTGGAAAACCTTCTTTAGGGATATGCATGTGATGCATTACAGTGTCTGAGAACCTTCACTGGATGCAAAAAGCTAGGAATTTGATACTGTTCCTTGAGGCCCACAAAGCTCTTTAGGAAAGGTCCTGTGCCTGCATTTGTGTCTGTGTACAACTGTATAATGAGCCCCAGCATGCCTTGTCAAGGAATGGTAAGTGGGGAGAACAAGCAAAGGCAGGGTTTCTCTCCATTCTTGCTCTGCACGCCTGCTCAGTCAGCATGGCCACTACCACTGTCCACTTTCTGCTCTCCTTTTCCAATTGAAAGTGTCCTGTTAATTTGTGGGTTACTGAGTGCAGTGGTCTCCTTTTGGACAACTGGCACAAGAGCAATACTGGTTGTTCTCTCTGATTAGGACGCCGGCATGGTGTTGGGCAGCTGACATTTGCTGATGGCAGCATTTATCTGGGACACTTTGAGAATGGTCTCTTCAATGGCTGTGGGGTGCTCACTTTTGCAGATGGCTCCAGGTGGGTACAGGACTGTGGGCACTGGCACTACTCTGAACTAGTATATAAAGTGGGTGCATGTGCATGACCTAAGAGGCCCTAAGAAGAGTCAATTAGAATCTGTAGTAGAGGCTGTTTCTGCTGTGTAACTGAATGTCAAGAATGTCTGTGAATTGCTACCCACTGCATGGCAGTCCTTTTTTAATGTCAGCATGCACATGTGACTTGGAGCCATACGCAACAGTTTTTGGTATTGGCTTTACCATCCATCCATCTACACAGGTTGTCTGTAGCCACTGGGTTACTGGAAAGCCATTTTAAAGACCTGCCAGCGATGCCTCCTTAGCCTTGAGTTTTCTTTCGTGAACAGTATATTCTTCCAATTCTTCTCAAAAGCCTTGCAGGATCTGCTTGTAGGTTGTAGGTAGCAGTTCCCCAGCCTGACAAACTCCTATCGCCACTTCAGGTACGAAGGGGAATTTGTGCAGGGGAAGTTTAATGGTGTTGGAGTCTTTACACGCTATGACAACATGATCTTCGAGGGAGAATTCAAGGGCGGACGTGTCGAAGGCTTTGGTGAGTCCTAAGGAATCCTTATTTTTGAATACAGCAAAGCATATATTTGGAAGCATTGTTGCAATGCAGAATAGATATAATGACTTGGGCAGATATCATTCTCTAAATGCCAGATACAGCATAGACGTTGACTGACAATTCTGAATTCTCTCCTCCTCATCTTCTTTTGTCCCTCTCTGTAGGGATCCTTGCCAGAATGCTCTCACACTGTGCAGCAAATCTGCTGCTCTGCAGCCGTACCAATGTTGTTTTATTTTCTCCTGCAGGGCTTCTTACATTTCCTGATGGCTCCCACGGGGTCCCCCGTAATGAAGGCTTCTTTGAAAACAACAAATTATTGCGACGGGAGAAGTGCCAGGCAATTGTGCAGCGTGCACAGAGTGCCTCCAAGTTGGCACATGGCCTCACAGCATGACGGGGGCAAACTCTAAAACACCTGACCCCAGGACTCTCCTATGAACTACAGCCTAGTCAGCAGATTGGCAGAAGCATGGAGTGCAAGAGTCACCAAGATAGACAACATCTCTAGGAGGCAGATGATCTCAACTCAACCTCACTCAGCTGGGCAGTCTGCCTGGGTGGACAGCTTGCCCCAGAGTGTGAGCTAGTGCCAAACCTCAACTACAGAGCCTGTTTTTTAATACATATAGACTGTTTGTCATTTCTAAGGCAGTGGCATTCCCTTGATTCCCATGGGCAGTCTGCTAATGCTATAGCCCCACAGCTGTGACGGGCACAATGAAATCTATACTCCCTACCCCATCTACTACGAGGAGCAAGGAGCAAATCACTCATGTATGTTGTGAGGCTTTACAAAGATACTCTTACATCTTTCCCCACTTTCAGACTATTGCAGCTGGTAGGTACTAAAAACAACCAGATTGTCCTTATTTTCCAGGGGCAGAATGCTCTTGTTTGAAACTTGCATTTAGCAGTTTCCTATTCCACTCAATGGTCCTAATCCTCTAGTTGCCTCCTTCCTGCTCCATGAAGCAAGATGTTCCTTTCCTTATCCAAATAATAATAATGCAGAATTGCAACATTGATTAGAATTCTAGACCTCCTGGATACGATTTCCCCCAGCTTTGCAGATCAGTATGATGAAAGCAGGTTCAGCTGTAATGTCTGCTCCAGAAAATACCTGGGATCTCTTTACATTTTTTTTCTAGTTGTCTTATGCTTCATCCTGTTTGTGAGGGACAGTATGAATATTTGGGGTGGTATTGGGGTAAATGAGCATTTCACAGCTGTCCTCCTTTCCTTGGGATCTTTATTGATTGACCTGGAGGGTCTAGGAGGTGAAAACCTACTTTGCCTCCAAAGCTATTGCAGGGCATCCATGCACCACAGTGCTACATAACACAGGCTTGTGCACATGCTGCATTTCCAAGATCAATCTACTGCAGCAAGCAAACCTGAATGCAGCACTCACTATCATTTATATAAATTAAAACAATTGGCACATCAGTACTGTTGGTAATCACAGGAAAAGATAAATGGCTTTGCAAAAGATTAATTCTTTAGGCCCTAAAATTTCTGTATTGTTCTCAGTACCTTCCTCCTGTCTTTGGAGTGCTTTTCATGGGTGTTGCACGAATGTTTTTAAGCCTATCCTTGCTGCCTCAGTAGCTACAAAAATGATTTGAAAATAGAATTATTTTTTAAAAAAATTATATGCTAACCTGTTTCCCATACTATATAATATATAATTGTAAACACACAGTCCTGCGAGTTCCCCAAATAAGCAGTGACCTTTCGCATTTCATTCACTAGGTCCAAAGAGACAGCTGCTCCCAGAAATAGTGATTTTAAAGGAACACATTTTGTCCCATCAGAAGAATTTTTAATCTGTCTCATTGGAACTATTTGATAAGTTTATGAAGGAAGCTTTGGAATAATTTATGGTATTAAGATAGCAGGGTTATCTTAGTATCAGAGATTACTGTATATCCCAGGTTCTCTAACCATTATGGCCATGGGCCATGCTAGCTAAGAGTTTCTTTGCCAAGGTTTACCTAATGCATGAGTACAAATTAAGCTGGGTCAAAGAGGTACATGGAGAAAGCAACACTTCTGAGGTTCCTTGCTGGAGAAATAGGCTAACTGGAAGTGCAGAACTGGAGGAATATAAGGGGAAGCTAATTGTTGTGAGGAGATAGGAAGCGAGACAGTATATAGCAGGATGAAGGCTGAGTTGGGATTAAGAAAGCTACCGTTGCTGCCCAACCACTTTGTGTTTCTGTGCACTAAAGTGAAGCATGGGATTGTTTAAAGACTGGGGGGGTGTTCTTAGCCAAGCATTGACCTGCATTGTATGTGTCCCCAAGTGCCATGCTGGAGCCTTGCGTGACCAGCTCACATCCACAATGAATGTCTGTGTGTCAATGCCACCCTCGTGCCTTTGTGTCTCTGCCCATGTAAGGGCCTTGGCCAAATAAACAGTTGCTGGATCTCTGCCTCGTTGTCTTTTTCCCCCCCATAGGGATGACAGAGCAGTAAGGGCAGGGTGTGTTCAGCTTATATAGAAGATCTTTTTTAAAAAAAATTAAAAGAATTATTTTTATTTCAAGGGTAAATGGAAATAACTCAGGATTACAGGGATTATATCATGCTATACATTATCACATATTATCTGTACTTAAACATATCATTAAAGATTTTTGTGTCTGTTAGTTGCCTATATAATTCCAACTAAAGTCATTTGACTTTTGTATTAAAATTATCACATTTGGCTTTCAGTTATATATAGGGTCCCATTTTTCAGTTGCTTCTTGGATTGAATTGTCTTTCAAAGCTTCTGTTAATATGTCCACCTTCGCCACTTCCAAAATCTTTCCCACATGTACTTCATGATTTGGTATTTTGGTTTTCTTCCATTTCCATGCATATAGTATTCTGGCTGCAGTTATTATATGTATCACCAAATGGCTCTCTCTCCTATCCAAACTCTCTGGCAACATATTTGATAAGAATAATTCTGGTTTAAAAAGTATATTAGATAGCAGAATTTTCTGTAAACATTCATGTATTAGTATTCAATAATCTTTTGCTTCACTACATGTCCACCACATACAATACAAGGTTCCCTCTTGTAATTTACATTTCCAACATATATTTGATGTACCTTTATACATTTTTGACAACTTACCTGGCGTCATGTACCATTTGTAGAACTTTTTGTATATATTTTCTTTAAAGTTTACTGATTTATTAATTTTCCATATTTTTCCCAGTCATCAATATCAATATTATGCCCTATATTTTGCACCCATTTGGTCATACAGTCTTTTAGCACTTCATCTTCCATCTTAATTTGTAATAAGAATTCATACTTTTTTAAAATCAATGTCATCTGTTTTTAATAATATTCTATCCAGGAGTATTTGCTCTTCATAAAAACCCTCCTTTTTATCTTTTACCATGTTTCCCCGAAAATAAGACAGGGTCTTATATTAATTTTCGCTCCAAAAACACATTAGGGCTTATTTTCAGGGGATTTTTTTTTCCATGTACAACTACATTTATTCAAATTCAGTCATGTCATCTTCTGGTTGCTGCACATTGGTGGAGGGCGGGGTTTCACTTAACTGGGGCTTATTTTTGTGCTAGGCCTTATAGGCATCCTGAAAAATCATGCTAGGGCTTATTTTCAGGTTAGGTCTTATTTTCGGCGAAACAGGATACATATCTAGATTCCAATTGTATTCTAGCTCACCAATCTATATATCTTGTTCTTCTAACTCATCTTTTAAATTCACAATTTCCTTTTAGTACCATAATTCTTTATATCTGAGCAGTCTGTTTACAGTCATAAGGTTGGGTTGGGTAAAAGCTTCTAATGGAGATAACCACTCTGGTATCTTCCTGTATATCGTATCTTGTCCCAGGACCTTAATAGAGATCTTCTTATCAAATGATTGTAAAAATATTTGTGCTTTTTAGCTTTTTTGTACCACAAAAATGCATGCCAACCAAGCATCAGATCATGTTCTTCCAGCTTGAGTAGTCTATTATTTTTAAGAGTCATCCATTCCTTTATCCAAACTAATACACAAGCTTTATGTGTCAAGATGCAGGGAAACATTCTTGCCTGTACCCCATCACATTGACTCTCTGTGGCCTTTGCTTCCCCTACTTCACTGCCATCAACTACTGGAAGATTTCTTGCCCCCTCAAATATTTGCACCTTCCATGCCTCTTATGCTTGCAACAAGGTTTCAGAACAGCTGTCGGATACTATCTGTTTCTTTGAAATTTCTTCTCAAAACCATCCTTTTTGACAGAACTCTCTGGGTCAGTGGTACTCGGGCTTAAATTCCTAGGTGTGCTTGGACCACGACTCCCAGAAACCTTGACCACTAGATGTGCTGGATGCACCTTCTGAGAATTTTAATCGAGGAACATACAGGAATCCAAGCTTTGGAACTATTGCCTTACATCAAGAAAACTGGTACATATAATTGAACTAATTTATCTCCTTTCTTTATCTTCCCCCCATTATTTCTGTTCTTTCTTTAGTGGAAAATTTCTCCAGTCAGTCTGACTCCACCCTGTGTTTCTGGATTCCAGATTTCTGTAGCTCCAATCAGCATGGCCAGTTATGAAGAATAATGGGAGTAGTCCTTTGTGAATGTCTTCAGGGCTACAAGTTTTTAAGCTAAACGTGTTTTGTAATGCACCATAATAGAATGCAAAGAAAAACAAGGGTGATTGTTTAAGCACTAGTTCTTTACTGTTATTGACTACCTGCTATAAGTTCAACTACTGGTGCCAGGACTACTTTCTCCAATAATCTGAATGAGGTACAACAAAAAGTAATACATTTCAGCTTTATATAATACTCTTGCATGGGTAATTCAAGTTTCCTTTGGTTGAAAGCACAGCTCTCCCAGGGGATTGTGAAATTACCACACTCTAATCAAGCCCAATATTTTCCTTTGCCAAGCAGGATACACCATCATCGAAACTGTGGAATGCCCACAATGACATAGAATGCTGATGCACACAACATATTTTAGCAGAGGTTAATTGTATCCCATGCTACCTCAGTCTTCCGAGGATTAAGATCAAGTGAAGCTCAGCACTGCAAAGCAGCACTGTCTGCAAAATAAACCACCCTATGTCTTCAGGATGCTGACTAGTCATTAGTCTGGCTTCAGTCTATACCATAAACCTACAGATTAAGTGACACAGGCCCTGAATTTTTTGGCAACTAAAGGCTTAGAGGAGGAGATCATACAGTAATGTGGCAACCTCATACTGTATGTTCTTTGACTTGACCTTACAGAGTTCATACACAGGGAACGGGAAGTGATAGAATAAATGATATTTTGGCCTGGAAAGTCACACGTGCAGGAGCACTGGGTTCTACTTCTACACCAATGGACATTTCAAAGAAGTAGCCATGTTAGGCTGTGCAAGGATATCCAGACAAAAATAACAAAATTAAGAGATTAAAAGAAAACTTTAAAGCCAAATTCTGTAGCATTGTAAAGGCTAATTGTTACATTTCAGTGTGAGCTTTTGTGAATATATCAATTTCCTCAGGCATACTGGAGTGAAGCCAAACCAAAAGTTACCTACAAAATAGGCACAGGAAATGGATTGACAAGGTAACAATGGTTTTGCTTCAATATGTTTGAAGAAGTGGATGTATCCATGAAAGCTCATGTTGAAATATAACAGTCTTTAAAGTGCAACAACATTTTTGTTTCCATTTTTGTCTGAACAATGGAGATGGCACAGACCTGTGATTCTTGGAATCAGGGAATGCTCTCTCTATAGCAGATAATTTGATGCAAGCAGCAGCATAGTGTATGGGCAATAGATATAGTGTATCTGAAGAAATGGTTGGACATTCTAAGCAAGAAGGAACAAAGCCTGCATGGAGAGAAGAGTTCTGGGCTCCTAGCCTTCTGCCAAACATTGCATTTGCTTGTTTCAAGCACCATCCTTGGGCTTTCTTTCCCTTGTTTCATTGCTATAGCATTTCTCAGATTTCCAGTGAATCATGCCAGTGAATAAGCTGTATGTTTGAGCTGTATTTCACTAGGTGACAAAAGAAAATCTGTGAAAACTGATGCCAGGCTAGATAGCAACAGACCTACTACTCATTTCAGCATTCCAATCATTGTGTAGAGCTGCTTTGCCCTTTAGAGCCAGCCATGGGAGCTGAAATGCTGGCGCAGTTCCATCACTTGTGTTTCGCTCAATGGGAGCAGGGGAGCACGACAGAAGCCCCCTTTATAACCAAACCACTCCATGGCCTGCTTCAGACCTGGGATGCCAAACTTCTGGGTCACCTGTGGAAACAGAAACTGTGAATTTCTGAAAACATCCATACAGCAAACAATCTGGAATAGGTATCCTGAACGCAAGAAATGTTCAGCGGTGGAACAGGCTGCACTGGGAAGTGATGGACTCTCCTTCATTGGAGATATTTTTAAAAGAGCTTGGCTGGCTGTCAAGGATGGTTTAGCTGTAGCTTTTTTGCATCTGAAGAAGGTTTGACTATATGACACTTGTGGAAACGTTCTAACTCTACAGTTCTAAGCTTCTATTGCACAGGTAACCCTGAGTTCTAGACCCACAGGATGTAGAAGCAACTTAAGAACTGCATCGGACAAGATGACTTGTCCTCACTAGATGTATTAGACTACTGCTCCCATCATCCTCAACTAGCATGCCTTTTGACCCTGCAGACTGAGTATGATGGGAGTTGCAATCCAACACATTTGGGAAGCAGCTGGAGAAGGCAGATGTAGAAATGGTCCTATGTCCACAGAAGGTCCAGCATAAAACAGATGGGCATCATCAGGATCTAATATAGCTATGCTGTATATATACAGTATTAATAAAAAGTACATGGAGAGACTTTATATAAGATCATGCTATTTTTCTGTCTAGCTAAGTGTTGCCTGCCATAGTTAATACAATTGTGGGGCAGGGGGAAGTACAGGAAACTTAGTACTGAAATTAGAAGCCCTGGATATTTTCTCATAAATATTAAATAATCTACCAAAAATTAAGCACTCATTACTTATGGTTTTGTAGGTTTTGGAAATGTGCAGTGTGAATACAGCACAGGCTGTGCAAAGAAAACTGAAAATGTCATGGCCTTTGTCTCCAAAGTAGCATTTTTTGTGTGAGGAATCAAAATGAAAAATTTCCATAGCTCAGGAAGCAGACATTCACAATGGAGAGAGGGGCTGAGTTTGGTGCTGCTGTGGTGAGGTGGGGAGAATGCAAGACAAATCTGTAGGCTGTCATTAGACACCCGCTTGTTTGTGCTGCTAATTTGGCACTAGGGTGCATATAACCCGTGGTTCTGGGAAGATCTTTTGCCAAAAAGGAGAAAGGATGGGACTGGCTCCTATCCAGACCAGCCCAAATTGTGCACAAGAGTTTTATCTTGGCCTGAGTGAATTCCACAGAAACTGCCCATGGCTTGGCAAAAAAAGTGGTTTTGCCAACTTCAGATCCCACATTTCCTCCCAGTCTTCTGACTTTTACCGCAATGTTTGGCTCAATGAGTCGATGCTGCAGTTTACGGGCCTCATCCCAGCTTCTAGAATGGCACAGCTGCTCAAGCTGACAGACAGGCATGCCAAGAACATTGGCAAGGGCACAGATCCCTCCAGCAGCACCTGAAGCAAGAAACAGCCAGCAGAAAAGAACACCTGGACACTGAAACACACCATCTTTGCACAACTGACGCTCCATCACTACCCCAAGAAATCTTTCAATCCAATGTGGTATACAATAGACCAAATGTTGTGATCTTCTCTCCCAACAGCTCACCTGTGACTGTGAATAATATTTACAAAATACTCATTCTCTCCAAGGCTGGGCTAATGCACTGAGATTGCTATCCTTCACAAGAAAACAAGACAAGATTGAGTTTCCATAATTTTGTGCAAACTGTTTCTGTTCAAAACTCCTGCCTTTGCCAGTACAGAGCACAAACATAAGTACAGTACTGGCTTCTTGGTCAAAAAGACAGAAACAACCCATCTCATCCTTGTAATATTTGACAGGCCATGCAGTGGGACAGCAGCTACTCCAGTTCTGTGTAATTTGCATAAAAATAGTTCGTGCATATATCAGAATTCTCATTGAAGATGCCTTAAATATCTTGCCTCTTAAGCAGAAGAATAATAATCTTTGAGTTCCTCATCTGCAAGTGCATGCAAGGATTTGGATCCCTAATCTCAACTGTTGCTCCCTAGCAGATCTGCTCAAGGAACGGTATAGGGATGCAAGTTTCCAAATAGCCTGCTATCTCTTTTTAAAATGTTATACACACAACACACCGTATACTTTCTCAACTCCCAAAACATCCAGCCAAAACACTTTGCAGGACTGCCTCCCATCACCATACACAGGTTCATTCCTGCCATCACCTACCTACAATGTAACTGGCCAGGAGAAAGCCAGCTGATCCTGCCAGTACCTGGAAGTCTTCATGCTGTGTCTTGTAAACCAGCAGCCCCACACGGGTTATCTAAGAAGAAATGTGATGGCTTGATGGGGTAAACAAGACTGATCACAAGGAGTTGCAAAAGTTGCCATTGACAGTGGACATTGGGTATTCATAAGTCATGTTCTCATGCACTCTTAAACCCTTTTCAGGTATTCAGTAAAAGGGTTAATCTGAACAGGTGAGCAGAGGGAGCACAATAGCCCCTCTCTCTTAACTCTGTCCGAAGAGAAAAACATCTCTACATTTGGAGCACCTCTTCATGATTAGGAACCCTGGTTTCTCATCCAGGGAGAGCAAGCCCAGGAAAACCAGCCCCAAGGCTTTATGATGTTGGGGCTGATTCTTCCAGGGTCCTGATTCTCCATATATGAAGAGAGCTCTCCTCTTCAGATTTAGAGTTCCATACAAGGAGAGCTAGAATGTAATGGGACAGGGTTAGCCTAGTCCCTCTACTAACACATTCAGACTAAATAAATCCTGATGGCCTGAACAGGGCTCCGGATACAGGAGTAATTTTTTAGGAATACTTACCAATATTGCTTGGCCTTGCCCCCCTTTTTAAAAAAAGAAATAAAGAAGTGTTCCCCAGCCTAGGTCTCTCCAAATCTTCTGCCCTGCAGCATCAGCTAGCATGGACAACAATACCATCAAATCGATGCATTATGTCGTAAAGCAGAATATCTGGGAAGACCTACCGTATTTTTCGCTCCATAAGTGATGCATTATTTCATAAAGCAGAATATCTGGGAAGACCTAGGTTGTTAGGGAAAGAGGATGTAAAGATTGTTTTCCCCTGTTATACAATTTTCTCATGTGCAAGTAGGGAAGGAGGATGTAAAGATTTTCCCCCTGTTATACAATTTTCTCATGTGCAAGTCTGAGTACCTATTAAAAACAAGCTTCCCCCCCCCCCGAAAAAAAGGGTGGGTGGGTGTGTTCAGAATCACAATTCAGATCCGAGTCATTGGGGGGAAAAGCCTGAGGTGAGTCCCGGTCACGTCACCGGTGCGACTTAAGTCCAACTTGACCGTTCAGAATCTCAATTCAGATCCGAGTCATTGGGGGGAGTTGAGCCCAGGTCGAGTCACCGGTGCGACTTAAGTCCAACTTGACAGCGAGTCCTGTGACTCGAGTCCCCATCCCTGCAAAAAGGTGACATGGATGACCTACACTTCTGAGCAGAAGATGTTGCAAGGCCACGGTATCTCTTCACATTGTTTATGTTTCTGCTTGGGATGTTCTTTGAGGAAACATCATCTGGGATCCCCATACAGGTTGTACTGAGGTTTGGGGAGGGGATAAAACTAGTGTATTACAGTAACTTGTACAAGCCATTGGTAGACCCACAACTTGACTTGGGTAGAGGCCATCACTAGTTTCTTCTCATCTACTTCCAGGTGAGTTATGGGGACCTAAAACAAATCTGGCTGCTTGGCTAAGGTTCCCAGTTGTGTCATTCTACCAGCAAAATGGATCCTAGTCTGATCCTAGATATGAAAGTGTCAGTCAGTACTTGAGAATGAAAACCTGATAGTCTACATGTACAGTATGCCATTCTGATTTCCTTGGAGGGTTAAGTAGGATACACATGTGAGAGACAGATAAAAAGCAGCTGTTTTTCAGCACACCATTCCTGCCATAGAGACGACAGTCATTAGTACCTGTTGTATGACAAAATACAGCCACATTCAACCTGGAGAAATCAGCTGTATATTCCCCTTCAAACTGCTATACTGGATGGGCAACAGTACTTATACAGATATATTTTGGACTTTCACTTCCATAATCCCTCATGCTGGCAATGGTTAACAGAAGCTGTTATTTAACAGAAGTTGGAGTGCTGCAGTTATCTTTTTTTAAAATGGGTTAGGTGTAGGGATAGGAGAAAAGGGGGCATGGGATAAACGGGGTGCAAATCAACATAAACATTTTAAAATACTCATTATCATCTGTTACATTTCATAGATACATACGTTCCCAATATAGCTTAATTATAATATACATTCTATTTCTAAAATTTATCACAGGCTTTCAATTATCAAATATTAATTTGCATTCTATTTCTAAGCCAGTCATAAAAATGTATGCTAACAATCCCCATGGTTCGTCTTTCTTGTCAGATCTAACCATTCTGATAATTTATCTATTTCCACCATGTCCAGAATTTTTGCTATTAACTCATCTTGTGATGGATTCTCCAGGTCTAAATATGTTTTCATTGGTTCTTTTGAGTCTGAAATTATGTTTAGTAGAAATAATTCAGGGGTTACAGTTATCGGACTCTCTAGAACCTCTTGCAAAAGCATTTCAATCCTTTTCAAGTATTTTGGGCTTTCCTGCATGACCACCACATATGATAGAACCTTCTTTTTGTTTACATCTCCAACAGAGGTTTGAAATTTTTACATCCATTTTGGCTAGTTTTGTGGGAGTTATATACCATCTGGATCGTAGAGAAGGAAAAAAGTAATGAAAGTATTGGAAGCTCTGAATTGTAATAAGAGAAATTAAATAAAAATAAAAAGGAATCAAGATTAAGCTCTCTTTCACCTTACGGGGTGAAAGAGAGCTTATTCTAATGTGTTTATTGCTACCGCAAAAGCTCTAGACTCTTCCGATGAGGCTCAGCACAGGCGCAGGTCACCCAGGGTGTGATTCAAAGAGGCCTGTGATGTTCACAACCACATCATGGAGCTACTCAGCATAACCCAGCATAAATGTTTGGCTAAACTATAAGTATAAAACCTGCATAGGGCTTTAAGTATAAGCTTTATCAAGAAACTTGCTTCATTCCTCTTCCCATATTTATTTAACAGCACACCTAGACTCTTTTTCATTTTAAAATCCCAGGGCAGTCTACAGATAACAACCACAGTCCAAGTAGTACCTAGAAGAATCATAGAATAATTATCATAGAATAATGAAGAGGGAAGGGGCCTATAAGGCCACTGGGTCTAAGAATAAAGTAATAAAACAACAATATCTACAGTTCATTGAAAAAATAGGATGACTGATAAAGTTTAGCAATTAGGGCAATACTGCAATACCTTTGCAATACAAGCACATGAACATCATCAGGATGTGATAGCAGAAAAAAAGCTAAATAAATGTGTGGAAATCTACCACCTGGCTGCATACTTTGTATATGAAAAATATTTTCTGGGCTGAGAAAGTTGTTATTTTAGAGTTAATATTTCAACACTAGATAGACTGTTGGCAGGTCTCCAGATCCTCCTTGAGAACGTGATGTTCTACCTCTCAAATAGTGGAAGGCCTTCCAAATTAGATGCTTGTCAGCATCCCAAAATGCAATTGTACCGTCCCACCTCCTGGATCACCTTGGCTTCTACTTTTCTTCACTTACATTGCCACCACTGTCCTTGATCCCGACAATGTTGGGGTGCTGTGCAAGGCTAATCACAGCATCAGTAGGCAGCTCCAGGCCTGTGTTGGCAGGGACACTGTAGAGGATCACAGGGATTGGAGAGGCATCAGCCACCTGAGAGGCACAAAGCAGTACAAGTGTGAGTTTCAGGAGAATCAACATGTGTATAGACAGTGAAGTACAGTATTCCACTAAGGCATTATCCAGAAACGTGCATCAAAAAATCAAGATTCACATATTTTCTTTAGTGTGATAGAATTCATTAAATACCACTCATCTCCTTACTGCAGCAGTTCCTGTATGGATACAGTGCCACTAGGAATAATATGGCCCTCTGGATGTTATTAGATGGCAGCATCTAACATTGTTTACCATAGTTTATACTAGCTAAGGCTGATAAAGACTCCAGTCCAAATTGTGTACTACAGCTCCCAGATACCTCCTTAGGCATGGCCAAATGAACTTTCCCAAGCCCTAGCACAGTAGCTACTAGGTACCTATCAGATACATATATGCATACAAGTGTGTGTAGATTTTGTCTATGCAGTGTCTTTTGGAGCAGGTTGGTGTGTGTTTAATAGGGTCACTTGGGGCTGAGTAAATGTGCAATATGCCAGTTCATTTGGTGTGATCCTTGTATCCAAATGGTATATCAGAGCTTAAGCAACCTTATTTGGTCTAGCTCCTTCCAGCTGGAATTTCCAATATTGTGAAGGAGCAGATTAAGAGGGCCACTTCAGGATACTGGCAAATAAACACTTCTTCTGCTTCTCAGCCAAGGGGCAGAGGAAGTGATTTTTTTAGAGACCCTATTAGGGCAGTTAAAATGTGCTGCATCACTTATGTTTCCTGGTCTTTTTAAATTCACAACAGTCATAATTTGTTTTTCATAGTTCAGCACATCTAAATCAAAATGGATAAACAAAGAACTAAGGCTGAAAAGGTCAGTCTAATGAACAAAACATTTGTTTATTCATTTTGATTTAAACATGGCTGAACACTGAAAAAAATGTGACTGTTATGAATTTTAAAATGCAGAGAAAAATAATTATAAATAATATATACCCTACAATTCAAGGTAATTAGACACCAAAGACACTCCTTTCCACTCCACATCCCTGTTTTTCCAAAGTTCAGCTTTGTGCTCATCTATCATTTTTTGAATAAGTTAAGCAGGATAAGCCTGTGAAAAAGAAATCATCTTCTCCCTTCAGCTTATAGACACATTGAATCTGAATCCAGACTTAAAAACATTTATTAGCTGTCTTTCCACTTTATTTGACATGCTCAAATACAAGCAATGCCCCAATTCCTAGTGTAATCTCATCCCCTTGCTCAAAAATACCCCCAATCACAGTCTCTGATTCGGGGGTGGGGGGAGAGATGACCTAACCCCATTCTTTACCTGCGTGTAGTGATGGATCAAGGCTGCACTGGTCATACTTCCCCGGAAATAGCAAGGAGTCACCACAAGGGCAGCATCAGCACCCCTGTCAGCCATTTGTGCTGTCATCTCAATGGTGCCCTGAGTTGCTGAATGGAAAAGCATTAAATGGGGAAATCAGTACAGTGAGATCAGTTTTTCTGAGCCCTGTAGAAACAAAGTGTAGGCCCTGTGGGTCAGGAAACCTTTTTTTTCCCTACTTGTGGCTCTTTCCACTTTAATCTAGGAAAGTTTTTGAAGACCATATTCCAGCAGTAAATGAAAATAGATACATGGGACGGGGCCAAAGCAAAGTGGAGGAGGCTGGTTGCATTTCTTGTCAACTTGAACAGAGATATTCTTGCCAAACATACAAAGTACAACAGAATTCTGTGCATATCAAATGTGGAATCTGCATGTAAGTCATAGCTTTGAGGATTTTAAACAGCCTGCTGTCTCTTCTCTTCATTCAATCGTCAGAGGTAGCAGCAAAACAAGCTTGAAACCCAGTGTTTCCCACTGTTGTTCTAATAGCCCAAAGGTTCAAGTTAGAGTCCATAAAAGTAAGGGGACAATTCTTAGTACCAGAATCATTGAACCAGTCTGGGGGAAACAGAGGCCGACATCTTCCAGCCTAGTCTCCACACTGCTTACATTCATATCCTGTTCCAGCAAGAAGAAGCTTCTCCTGGGGTGTAGCTTGACGCACCCGTTTCACCACCTCTAGACGTTCCTGCTGTGTCAGATAGGGAGCTTCCCCATTGGAACCCTGCACAACAAAACCTGCCAAAAAAAAAGTTGGCATTTTTGTTCAAGCATAGAAGAACATTTTTTCAGAGCAGAGAGGGAAGTGCCAACCAAAGCAGGTTCCTCCTCTGTGCCTCCATCTCCTGCAGAGCAACAGGCCAAGGCTAAAGTTCAGGCCGGCAGCCATGTGTATCACTGAGGATGAGCGATAATAAAATAGTAACCAGTTCAGCAGCACATCCCCTTCCCACTTTCTGGAAAAGAGCCAGCAGCTGCGAGTACCAACCAAGGCTTTCCTGTTCCTTTCTCATAACCTCTTGTGAGCCACCAGCGATGGAGGAAATGCAAAGTTACATGTTTTCCTATGCCTTTCACAATAGTATGGCAGAAGTTAGTAACTTCTACATTGTTGAATGAGAATTACGGCAGGGAGATACTGTCAGGCGGGGAAGTCCACAAGCAAGACCTTCCCCTTCTGTTCTCCAGTATATAGTGCGCCTCCTGACAGTGGATGCTGATACCGTCTCAATTGAGCAGCAAAGCAGGGGCAGAAGCTCACCGAGGTGACTCCTTCCGCCGTACCTGGAAAGACCCCAAACACACACACGCACGCACGCCATCCCCACCCTCGCGCTTGCCCGTGGCGGTGGCAGCGCTCGCCAGCCTCTACCTCGGAAGGGAATTTCCGCGTAGAGACGCAGGTTCTCTTCCAGCCGGACGTAATCGACTTCTCCCTGCGACGTGAAAGGGGTGGCCAAGGGCGGATAGATGCCTCTCAGGTCCAGACGCCGGTTCGGGAGGGCGGCGGCGGCGGCAGCCCCAGAGGCGAGCGTCCTGGCAGGGCCCCCAAACCCCCGGAGGCGCGAGCAAGGGCCCTTTGACCAAACCAGGGGCCAGAAACGGCGCGGGACCAGCGCCACCCCGACCATTGCCCCGTCCGTCCGTGAGAGCGCGCCGCACGGGTTCGGGGGCACACGCCTCCTTCAGGAGGGCGGGGAAGCGGCTGCCTTAGACCGCCCTTCGGAGGCGGGGGTGGTCAGAACAGGGCAGCCTTACAGCAACGGGAAACCTCTTCGCGAACTTGAAAGGACCGAGGGGGAAAGGGTCCTGAAATGCACCCTCGCAACGACCCCGCGCTATTCTCCTCTGTTGGGTCTCTTGCAGGGATGTATTGTTGTCAAGTCTCTGTTATGGCAACCCTATCGGGTACGTGGCTGTGGAGCGAGAGGTTGGGGGACTTTAATTCCCCACGACCATGCCTGCTGTGAGTAGAGCCAGCCCGTGTGGCCCTGGGCAAGCTGGACAGGCCCGAGTGCTCCGAGAACAAGGGCGTGCTAAAGCATTTCTGTGTGCTCCATACCCCAACCCACCGACCCCAGATGATCAAGATAAAACAGAATTGATTTGTTGGCACATTTCTTGTTGTAATTAAGTAAGGAACCCCCCCCCCCCAGTCTTGTCATTTGGAGCAGCCCTGCTCAGGTCTTGCAAACTCAAGGCGATGGCTTTCTTGATTGAGTCCTGCAGAGATATAGTAGCTTTCATATTAAATGATGAGTCTTGAGCTTCTCATTAGCTGCTCCATTGGATGTATGAATTCAGTCTTGTTTACTTTTCTCCTTTGGGTGCACAGGCCTGGGGATTATAGTTTTTGAAGCAGGCTTTGCAGATGCCATTGGATGTTTGAGTAGTCCCATCGTTGGCTAAGCTGGCTAGGGCTGATGTCAGTTGTAACCTTAGCAATAGCTAGAGGAAAAGGAATTGTCTATTCTCAGCTTTAAGGGATTTCTTTTTGGGACCATTCTTTCTTAAACCCAGGAAGAGCCCAGTAAAGTGGAGAAGCTACAGTGCCATAGCATTTGTAGATAAAGGGAGAAGACTAAAAAGAAACTTCGCATGAGAAATCCAGAGACTATGTGTTGAAGGATCAGCGTGAGCCCAGCACCACGTTAAATTCCATGCTGGAGATAGTTAGGAAAGGAACCAAAAACCCAACGGCCAGCATGGTACTGCCCCTTATACAATATCTATGGCGTTTGTAATTCTGTGCAAAGTTGGTCAATGCACCTCAAAAAGGATATTGTTTTTGAAATAGTGCAAAAAAGGAGCAATCAAATACAGGAACTGGATGAACTCCTCAATGTGAAAAGGGAACTATGAAAAGCACTTTGGAACTCCGTTAGGAAAAAGACAACTAATTTACGCATGTCATGGAGAAAGGTTTTCTCTATCTCACATTAATTCTGAAACCTGGCACCATTCAGTGAAACAACTAGTAGAAGTTTCAGGAGTGTTGAAATATCATCATCATCTCAGAATGGCAGAACTGGAAGGGACTCTACGGATCATCGAGTTTAGCTCCTGTCAAGGAGGCACAGTGGGGAATTGAACTCCCAAACTCTGGCTCCACAGCCAGATGCCAGAACCACTGAGTTATCGAGCAATGTCTGATACTTCATATAGTACTTCAATGCAGTTCCAACTATGGCACTGTGGACCACACGATGTACTGATGGCTCAGCCTGAATAACTTCAAAAGGGCAGTAGGCAAACTCATGGTAGACAAGCCTACCGATGGCTAGTAGTTATCATAACTATTATCATCAGTTGCGGAGGTACATGAGAAGAACGGTTCTGTCACATTCATGCCATTGTGGACTTCCCAAAGTCATTGTGGAGAAAGAATGCTGAACTAAATAATGAATCTTGTGGCACCCTTAAGAATAAAAGATACATTATGGCATTGTGGACACTTCCCCTGGTGCAACCCTCAATGAGGCCTAGATAAACTGGACTCAACAGGTTTTTGAGAGCCTTTTGTTACATTATTTTCCAGACTGTAAAACAGTGCTGTTAAGTGAATGGGATCTTTCTAGGTGCAATATCTGATCTGACATCTGTTTTTTGAGTTAATTTAGTAATGGCCACCCATATCCTCTCTAATTTAAACAGCAACATGAATATTTCTTGTGTGCTTTTGGAAACTACATATGTGCAAGACTTTTGTCTTTCTAAAAGGATGTTTTGCTGAATAATATTGCCATATGAGGAGAGCTCTAACAGATAGATTAACATGTGCCATCTACTCAGTGAGTGGCTGGCTATACAGGAGTGTGGTGTGGCTTAGATGTAAGGGTTCTGCAGAAACCTGCATTCATCCCTGTATTTGAGTCTGCCATGCCTCTGTTGGCATTCTCATCCTACATTTCTGAGTTGGCATTTGCTTCATAGTCAAGAGTCCATTTCTGATCACATGATTACTCATCCCATCACTTTTGTGGAAGTGCTGACTAGACCCACCCTAAGATCAGGCTGTTGCTTCTCCTAATGCTCACCAATTGATTCTGCTCAAGAGAAAGTACAGTATACTGTTACTTTAGAATCTTTAGGTATATCTCTGAATATTTTCCCCTTCAAATATTATCTCAAGTGCCACATGGGTCGTCTGGAACTGGAGAACATGTTGAACTCATTTTTCAGTTGTGCAGCTTTCTAAATTATATACAGGTGGAATGTATAGGGAGTACCAGTGGTCCAACACAGTTTTATCTGTGGTATATAAGATTAGTTCTTTATTTGGCAAGGCTCTCGTGCCTTTATCAGCTGTATGAAAGAACTTTCACATATGCAACCAACAGAAATATTGCAATGAAGAATGCTTCAACTATTAAATTTCTACATATCTTACAGGTTTTTAACAAGACAGTGCATTCCCAAGAGGGGACCAGGCAGTGAATGGGCTGCCACTGTTTTTTTTCCTTTGTTAGTTTTTTATTGAATTTTAATGACAGTCTCTGAGCCCAAAACCATTCTTGCTTGAAGTTCCATCTGCCCTTGTTGGTCCATCCGTTTTTCATGCTGGCATTTCCGTTGCATTTGGCTCCTGCTTCTCCAGTACTTCCCGTGTGTCTGCCTGCCATAGCTGCACAAGGTCTGTTGGAGTCTTGCCAGCCTGTGGCAGAAAAGGCAGAAGTAAGAAGGACCAGTGTCCTTATATCATAAAACTGCATCAAATCAATCATGGAAAAGTGACATGGTAGAACTCAACCATCTAAGATCCTGCATATGAACTCACTGACATCTGAAATGCCACCTAGGTTAGCAACCACATGAAATACTATGCTTCTTCTGACCTGTTACTCAGAATGAGAATTCCCCACTAAACTTCAATTGTATTGGAGTTAGGAGTCTGGGGGTATGGACCACAAAGGGGCAACACTCACCAGATTTTTGGCCAACATGTCAGCCCCATGCTGAATCAACATCTTAATGATCTTGTAGCGATTGAGGCGCACAGCATCATGCAGGGCACTTTCTCCCTCCTGCAACAGACACAAGTCACTCCAGTGAGTGTAGAGCAAAGACATGCAGGCAACAGATCCCAACTTTGGATTTGTGACATAAGAGCAGCTAATTATTTGCCATCCTGTCCAGATCTCCAAAATGTTTTGAAAAGTCCATTGAACAGAGCTTTGTAGACAGAGACCTGGTGGTCACCTAAAGCAAGAAAGTATTAGAAAATGCCACGTCAGGCCAGCTAAACAAAGACTATCTGTCACTGATGGGATGCCAACTTTCCTGTCCTTACTGATGGAGGTTCCAGTGGATAGGGAAAGAATGGAGAATCTGTGGCTCTAATTCAGTGCTTCCCAACCTTGGGTCTCCAGATGTTCTTGGACTACAACTCTGTGGACAGAGATCAGATGGCCAGCACAGCAAGTGGTGAAGGCTTCTGGGAGTTCTAGTTCCACAACATCTGGGAATCCAAGATTGGGAACCACTGTTCTAATCCATACATTGTTGGTCTGCAGTTTTCATTGTTCCTCAGCACTGGTGGTGCTAGCTAAGGCTGATATGACCTGTAGTCCAACAGCATCTGAAGAGCCACATATTTCTCTCCAGTGGGTTAGGAAATATAAATGAATGATATATTATTTAGTGGTGATAGTAGATAACTCGGCTACTGAAAGAAAAGAAGATAATAAGACTAGAACAGTAACTGCAGTTAATAATGAATAATAAGGCTTTATTACTATACCACAATTTCACTTTGCTTCTTTTGCATGTAGGTATGCCCTTCTTTACGAAGCAGGTCTTACAAACCTCTGCATGATGCAAACCATTTATGTTCTGCCTCTGCTTAAAGTTGATGAGGCCAGAGTAATTCTCATGCAGTTCTGTACACGTATGTGTGATTGGTGTCCTTTAAGACCCTGCAGTGGCATGAACAGTACATGCTTCAGTAAAGAGACATGGTAATAGAAAAGACATATCTTACCCGATCACGGGAATTGATATTCACTCCATTGTTTATCAGGTGCTCCACAATCTCAGGCATGCCGGTACGAGTAGCCACATGTAGAGGGGTGCTGAGAAGCTGAATTAGAGCAGACAGTAAGTGAACATTGAGGTAGGAGCAGGAAAAGAGATCCACGAGTGACATTAGTTCTATCCCTTTTGCATCCTATTTATTTATTTATTTATTTATTTATTTATTGGACTTATATACCGCCCCATAGCGCTACAAGCACTCTCCGGGCGGTTTACAATTTTTAATTATACAGGCTACACATTGCCCCCCCAGCAAGCTGGGTACTCATTTTACCGACCTCGGAAGGATGGAAGGCTGAGTCAACCTTGAGCCGGCTACCTGGGATTTGAACCCCAGGTCGTGAGCACAGTTTTAGCTGCAGTACAGCGTTTTAACCACTGCACCACAAGGCTCATATAATATTTGAATAGTTTACTGCTTTTTCAGCTTTCATACTGTTCTATTTTTCCACTCATTGTTTTACTCCCGACATGAACTAAAGCCTGCTCAGCTCACCTTGTCCTTGACATTGAGATCAGCACCCTTTTCCTGCAGCAGCTTCACAATCTCTAGGTGTCCACCACGGCAGGCCCAATGCACGGCTGTGGAGTCCAGCTGTCAATAAGTGGCACACATCAATCAGGAAAGAAGTCCCCCATCATGCACCCATTGTCATCCCCATCCTTTGTAGAGATACCCCTTTCCAGTTGCATGCAGCAGCATCTACCGGTCTTGCTGTGGCACCCCAGTTGTAGAACTGTCATATATATTAGCTGTCACTGTGGTTTATGCTGTTTCATAGGTTTTTAATGGCCTTAAACTGTTCATGTGTTATCCTATCCTGCAATTTTTTTGTGGGGGGGGGATTTCCTTCTTGGATGCACAGCTTAAGATGGCAAAGGGGTTTCAGTATCTTAGGGAAGCTGAGAGCAATGTCATCAGGAGGTTAGACTCCGTTATGACTTCAACAGACCAAGGCCAAGATCATCCATACCATAGTATTATTACTTACTCTGTATGGATGTAAAAGCTGGATAGCAAAGAAAGCTGACAGGAAAAATGACTCATTGGAAATGTGATATTGGATCATAGATGCCATGGCTTGTTAGAAAGAGAAACAGGTGGGGTCTATATCAAATCAATTTTAAACTTCCGCTGGAAGCTACAATGACTAGCTGAACTGAAGGCAGTAAGAAGAGAGACATATCAAACATAAGATGGACTGACTCAATAAAAGAAACTGTCACCTTTAGTTTGAAAGACCAGGGTAGAGCTGCTAGTTCCAGGGGCTTTTGGAGGCCACTAATTCATAGGGTTGCCATATGCAAGAGGTAATTTGATGGCATATACCAAAAAGAAACAAATATCCAACAATTAAAAAATAAACAGAAATATCCAAAAGCAGCTGTGCATCCAAAGCACCAAGTACATGTTTCCCCTCTCATAGAGAGGAGATGGGTTTGCAAAAGAGCAGAATAGAAATATATGACAATAATAGAGAAAGGGGAGAGTGAGGAGTGATATTGAGCCAGCAGGAGGCATCTTACACGATCTCTGAAGTCAACGGTGGCACCTCTAGCCAAGAGCTTCTCTGCAATTTCTTTATGTCCCTCAAGTGAGACTCGGTGCAAAGCTGTCCTGCGGAACTGAGGAAGAAAGAGAATGACCATTTTCAGAAATAAAGTTGTGACAAAAGGAAAGGGCCTGAGCAAAGGATGATGCTCCATTGCCCAAGGTTTCCATCTGCTCCATTGCCCAAGGTTTCCATCTCTTTTAAACTCTTTGCCAATCCCAGTCTTCCCTGGCTTCCCATGAACTGTATTTGCTTCCACATGGTGATCAGCCATTTTGACTAAACCCTTGAGGAATTATTCTTCCCCCCGCCTTGCACCACCTCAATCTGTCGTCTTCAGTAAGTTGTACCCAAGAACAACTGTGGAGCTGGAAACCTATCCTGTTACCCTGTTATAATCACATAACTCTTGAATTGGATATTGGCGAAAGAAAATAAGAAAAAAAAATGCCAAAAAATATTGTAGTACTTCAAAAACTAACAGATTTATTCCAGGTGAACTTTTGTGGATCATTTCTTCACGCTGGAATAAATTCATTATTCTTTGAAATGCTACAATATTTGGCCCGCCCACCCCAAGCTTTTCTATGCCAATATGCGGAGAAAATCTAACATGGCTACCTCTTTTGCAGCTGAGTATGCTTAGGCATGCATGGATTCACAGAGGTAATTCCAAAAAGCCATGCATTTAGTTATTTTATGTCTATTCTTTTCTTTCCATTTTGCTAAAAACAAAAAACAACCACCACCCCATTTCTTGAAAGAAAAATACTTCTTTCCCCATTTCCAAGAAACCCATCCTAATATCTAGGGTGTACCAAGGGTCCTCCAGACGGTTTCGACTATAGCTCTCAAAGCCTATTTCTCACTGGATTTTTCTAGATTAAACCTCAGGGTCCTACAACGTGATCCCATAATAGATCATATGTGAACTCACAGGAGCTGCACTGGCCACCATACAAATGTCTACTCTTCCATATTTATTTACATATTTCATTTCTGCTCTCCCATAATTCTACATTATTCTCCAACATAAGCACTACTGCAAGTGTGGCAATCAGAAATTGTTCTGATTGGTAGCTCCGTGAAAAGGAGAACAAAAGCCATTGAAAATATCACAGTGAGCACACACTACTCTCATTGCATTACCTCATCACAGGTGTCTGGGGAGCCCCCGTCTGCCAGGAACTTCTCCACCACATGCAGCTTGCCATGTACAGCACCCTTCAAGAAGTCTTCTTCGCTCACAGGGCCTGTCTATAGAGAAGAAGTGGCATTTAATGGATTTTGCAGAAGCACAGAAATCGTGGCAGAGATTTCTGACCGTTTCTATTCCTGATCCCCATGCAGGCAGATATTATCTTACAAAGGCTGGGATTAAAGAGGTCTCTAGCCTCTGAGAAGCACTCAGAGAGGCCTCTAACCTCTAAGAAAGGTACCAGTTCTTGCCTTTTCCCTCCTCATGGTCCACTCCCAAGGAGAATGTTGGTCTACGTAGTGTTTTTTTCAGCATTCCCTTTCCCCCCTGAAATTTCCCTTACAATTTCCTCTGGCTCAGGCTCTGGTTTCTTCTCCTCCTTCTTCTTTTTGGGTTTTTTCCGTAGCTCAAAAAGGTATTGAGTGCCACCAACTTCAATTATCTCCCGCCTCAGGTCCACAGAACTCTTCCGCACTCTTTCTTGTCCCTGTAGGAGGAGAAATTGATACAGAACTTTCACACCTGTAATTTCCAGAGGGGCAGCTGAGCGAGATTGTTGCAGCAAAACCAACAGAGTCTTTGCTAGATTTATGTTAACAGAATTTTTAGGCACTAAACTCCACTAATACATGAAGAGTTATCCTAAATTGACAGAAACATGTTGCTGAAGGACAGCCTTTTAAAGCCAGACACTTCCTCTCTAGATTTGCTGGGCTACAAATTCTACAATCCCCACTCAACATGATCAGACTAGCTAGAGAAAATGGAATTGTAGTTCAGCACATCTCAAGGGCTCCTGATTGAGGAAGGCTGACACAGACAGAAAATTTAAGGAATGATGTCAGAAAGAAAGAAAAAAGTGACAAATGCACTGTGATGATTATATTAAAACTTATATATATATATAACTTATATAAAAGTTACCCTTATAGCTGAATGTTTCTCTTTATTCCCACTGCCTCCTTAACAAAACCCTCCCCTTTTACTTTCCAGTCCTGACCAAGGACTTGCTGATCAAAGAGCTTTCTTGTTGTTCACTTCCCACATTAAAATTGGCACAGAGAGAAGGTATGTAGAGTCTTGCTGACTCACTCTGGCTTCTCGTCTTTCAGCCAGAAAAGAGACATCTCATTCAAATGTCTGTTTGGAAGAGACTAGAAGAGAAGGGAAGGAGAAGGGGTGCAATAGTTTAGATCTCAAACAAAGTAGTCTGCAAGATGAATGGAATGCTGCCGCTTAAGAAGCAAGGTTTAAATTTGGTCTCAAGCACAGCAGCAGCCTACCTAGGAATCTCTGGGCTCAGCTCAAAATGCTTTTTTCCCCCTTTATCAGGGCTCATCTCAGAAACATATGGATAAATACGGAGGAAGCATGTCTGAGCACATGCAGAATGTGCTCCTGTCACTCACTAGAAACTGCGTATCTTAACCCCCTGGCATTAGGAGGCCAGGTTTTCTAAACAAGTTTGAGCCCCTGCCCTCTCATCATGCAGAGTATTTGCCAAGACTGACCTATTAGACAGAGGAAAACAGGTACATGAGGGCAGGGGACAAGATATTGGATGACAACTGTGCTGCCCTTAGGTGCAGTGGGGAGCAGTGTCCCATCACCAGACACCCTCTTGTTTTTCACCTCAGGCAGCAGAACATCTTGCCCTGGCTCTTACTTTTGTGCAGGACTTCTTGTAGAAAAAGAAGCTCATCGGTTGACTATTTATACCTATTTCTTTACTGTATGTACCTGTTGCTGGTGTATCTAACACTAGCTGGAATCTGTAAATGCTAATAACATTATCAGCTGCAGAGACACTAATATTTAAAGTTTCTTCCCTCCCTCCCCATTTCCAAGTCTCTGTAGGGATCCCTTTCGACCTGGGGAAGCCTCGGGATAGGGGCAGGGAGTCTTTAATATCCTAGAGTCACCACTACTGGTCCCAATCCTGTAGGCCAGGTATCTGATGGATCACAGTATGGGACTGATGGCCCAACTTCACTGATGAGTCACAGAGAATTAACATCTAAAAATTAACATCTAAATAAGTGTAAATTTATGTTGCAGTAGTAGCTACTATCTGAAGTGCCCAAAGGAAGATGTAGAAGAGAATTACATATCTTAAGAGTTGACCAGTTCCTTAAATCCCCAAGATTTTCCTTAAGAAATTACCTGATTAAAATGCTTCTGTATTTTACTTAATGCTGTTAATCTAAGGATAATTTGCTATCAAATAAAAATGGTATCTTAGGATCAAACAGGAAGAAAGCTTTTACACGAACAAAACTCAAGAAACATGGCTTGGGAATACTGAGGTCAGGTGATGAAAATGAAAAACAAAACTGCTTGCTGACAGGAATATTTGGAGTCAGGATGTCTTTTTATCTAAGTATATATAAATAAGAGTCACTGAATGCCATCAGGTTGATTCTGACTTATGGTAACCCTCCTCATGGTCTTCTACGTACACATAAAGTATTCAGAAGGGGATGACAATTCCCTTTTTGTGTAGCTCGCTCATGGCCACACAGGGTGGTTCTTCTCTCAGGAGACACGGCCGGCAATGAAACTCCTGACTCCTGGCAGGTGCTTCGTCTCAGTGAGTTATTCAGCCAGCCAGCTGTGCATAGATGGAACAATCTTAGTAATGGAGCATTTAATACTCCTAGCCACTAGAGGGCTGGAAAAGGCACACGAGAATTCGTTTGGAATGTGACAAGAACATGCGCCATCAATATTTAGTGAACAGCAATTATATCTCACTATTTTTATTCCATCCTTTCCCCCAAGGGATTTGTGGTTGTGTATGTGGTTCTTTTTCTCTGACTCATCCTCCTATCAGTCCTGTGAAGTAGGTTCAGCTGACTGGGACATAACTTCAACCATTATAACAGACGGCCTTTGCATTGCTCTTCTGGTTGCCTTCTGAGGAGGCAACACAAAGGCCATTAGCATGAAATAACATACAATATCAGAGAACAATCCAAGCACTTAAGACAAGATACTTGTGTTCAGTGGGGTAAGTTCTGAATGCTACCACAAGATCCAAGCATTCACAGGTAAAGTACTGTACATCATTTCCTTATGTCTAAGAGAAGAGGATCTGGGAGCCATACCGACCTTAAGTGGCTCTGACCCACTCACCTTAAGTCCCTCAATGCCTTTGTTGGCAGGTCCATGCTTCTTCTCATCCTCCAGAAGTGGGGTGTCTATCCTTGCCACCCCTGGTGGATGTGCAGGGGGACTGGAACAGTGTTTCTATGTGAAACAAATAGGAAATAGGAAAATATTGGAGCTTGTCTCTCTCTTTTCTGGGTGACTACAAGCAATAGCGGTGACTTTTCTTTCTACACAGGTTTGAAAACCAAACTTATTTTCTGGAAGAACATTTCCAGTGATTTGCAACTCATCCAATTCAAGTGACCACTAGTGGTCTGTGTCTATTTCTCCCTGCCACAGGTAGGTGAAGATTTCGCTTGATGCTTATTCTTTCCTTTCCATAATCCTAATATACCTTCATGAGGCTGCTCTTTCATGTTCCTTATAAAATCTAGCTTTTGTTTTTGCAGGAGTGGCACAATACCAGCACCCTCAAATATTCCATATTTGACATGAAAATGCAAACATATCCTCCTCTCCCTGCTTATGACTGTTTTTATAGTTACATCAAAAGGTCAGAGGCAAAAACCCGAACATATTAAAGGTTAAAATCAGGCTCTCCTGGTTGGCAAGAGTATCAGGTAATTCTCAGGGAGGTTATATTTTGGACTGTAAATGCCCAGAATCTAGAGTGCACTGTCTGTGAGATTTGTTAGTCTTAAAAATTAACTTTTACAAGCTCCGATTCTACATAGACCAAAGTTCTCCATTTATGGAATGTCAGTAACTATCAAGGCCTCATCCAATAAACCTGCGCTAATCCCTTCGATCCCAGCAACCCAACCCCATGGGATCCCTTGAGACTTACTTTTTGCTCCTCCTCTTGAGCCAATTTCTGATCAATTAGTTCCGTTGCCCATTTCACCTCCTGTTCGGTGTCCATCGTTTCTGCTCTCCTTAGAGTTGTGAATTCACCTTCCAAATCCTGACTCAGCTGTCCTTCCAGCAGGAGAGGGAATGTCCTTCCACTCTGTATGCAGCTTTCCCTGGGTCTGCTCCTGCCCCTGCTAATAAAGACTTACTGTGCATCCTGCCTTGAGTGACAACACTCTTCACCTCCCCACACCACCCCCATCCCAGACACCTTTGTCATGAGCTCAGCTCTCTCTCTTCCTAAAGTGACCTATGAGTAGTTGGACCTTTTTTTCCCCAAAAGGGAGGTGCACACAAAGCTTTCACCTCCTCTCATGGGAGGCGGGATGTTGGCAGAACCTCATCAGTTCTATATAGGCTGATGTCCTTCTCCTGGTGAGAATGGGGACAAGAATCATGGCTCCGTGCCCTGCTGCATGTCTCCAAAATTGTCCTATGAGTCATAGGTGCTCCTGGTAGATTTGTCTGCCACACATTCTTATCCATGTCTCAGAAACTCCATGGCTATATCAATATTTCCCCTGCAAAGAGACAACCTCAACACGAAGCCGCCTCAGGCTCCAAAGTATATGGTGGCACCCCACAAGACATTTGTTGTGCACAAGCTGAATGAACTGGCAACTTAATCTTACTTCAGCGTGGATGATAGGATAGTATACCCGTGAGCAGTAAGGTAATCCAAGGGCCACACAGGTCACCATGTGCTACACAGAGGTCTGTCCTTCCAACATCTTGCTACCACACCCTGCTCCTTAGTACCTTACTGTCGGGCAGCTACTTCATTCTGCCTCAGAATACTACTGAGGCCCTGAAAGCTGCCGATTATAATTTCAAAAACAAGCCACTGTTTGGACCTGCGCTATCTGAAATAAGGATGTCACTTATGTTCGATTCAGATATGAGAACAACACTCAAGGTGTGAACACAGAGGTTTGGGGACACAGAAAATGCACTTTATGTGAGGGCCACCTGGAAAATGTCTTCCAAACGTCCTACAAGGTGGGACTTCAGCATCGCTCTATTCTTACAGGCTGATTGAGAACAGAGGTAAAGAAATGTGTTGTTACTAAGCTACCTTTTTCAAAAGGTGCTGGTTGCTACAGGGGCCCGTGCTCAGATGGGCTCTGCCAGGAAACAACTTGCCAACCTGCCAAGCAGCTAACTTAAGCGCAAAGCCTGGGACAGCATGAATCATATTGGGTGAACTGGGGGCAGGTGAGAGGCAGGATTGAGCTGGGATCTATTTATAGTGAGAGACACACCACTCTGTCTCCTTTTCTCTAAGTCCTCAATTGTACCATGAAGTAGGGTTACTTGAAGTCATTCCCAAAAGTTCCAGGGTGGTCCTCTGTAGAAAGAATGGGGATGAAATCCTGTTTCCTAACAACCATACTGGGAATTCCTGACTTGGGCTTCTTTCCAAGACCAAAAGGCAGCTTTCATAAGAATACAGGCCAAAATGTCCCTGTGCACACAAACTAGTTTCCATGTTTAGAAGTGAAGCACAGGGAGCTGATGTACATAAACATATTTTAGTCTGCGTTACAAAGAATTTCAAATCCACGGAAATTCTTTTTCCTTAGTCAGATTTCATGAGACATATCAGTGGCTCTGACTCCAAGCCACCTTACCTAATTAGCCAGTTGCCAGCTGTACAAGGAAAACAAATTTATATTGCGTGCATATCTCTATATAGGGAGGTGTGAAGAGTGTATGTATATTCCTAAATGAGCAAAATTAGGTCAAGTTCACAGTAAAGTGCTATTCAGACTGAAGTGGATGTATTTAGTTCCATGTCTGATCTTCCTCTTTTTAAATAAAAGGAAGCTGTAGCTATAACACTTTTGGAGATGCTAACTATTATTATTATTATTAATTATTATTATTATTATTATTATCATCATCATCATCATCATCATCATCATCATCATCATCATCATCATCATCATCATCATCATCATCATCATCATTATTATTGTATTTTTCTTGTCTCAAGAAATCTCCATATCAAAATGTGTTATCTAAGGGTCAAACTAAAATACTGGCTCCCAATTGTACAGTATTTCCCTAACTATACTATTGTAAGTGCTCAAGATGTGACTAATCCTTCTTTGTCCGATGACAAGTCCCTTTGTAAATAGAAACAAGTCTAGTTGTAGTATCTGCAGGGGTACTACAACTGATTAAGGACAAAAGAGGTACTGGCAGGTATGGTAATGGATGGGTATTCCTTTCTCCTTGTCATAACCTGGTCCTTGCATCCCTGTTCCATTTTCAAACAGGGATTATGATTGTGTATCTAGTTTTATCTTGAACATGAGTGCTGGCTTTCACTGAGGGTTTATGTTCCTATCTAGCTTCACTTGTTCCATGCAGAACTGCCCATTTCTCATCTGGCAGTGCTTGGTCACTGCACTACAAAGGCGAGCTCGTGGCCCCTCCTTCTAGGCAAAATAGGAAATGCAAAGTACAGTACTTAAATCGGAAGGCACCCATTTTACAATTTCATAAAGCTTCCCATTAAATAGTTCAAAGCTTGTCAAAAGTTCAGTAGCAAAATCAAGTCCCAGATGAATTAGGCACAAGGCTAGTTGGAAAAGTCTTTATTGATAAATTACACTGATACCTATATATACAAACCATCCTCCATTCTCCTTTATTACACCTTATCTGGATGCGGGGTTGTCTATATACCTAGGATGAGGATCTTTCTCACTAGCTCGTAAAAGATGATTGTGCAAACAAGCCAACCTCAGCATTATCCAAGGCCTAGGAATGGAAAACCGCCATCAATAGGGGATTTGACTATATGGTCTGGCCCTGGGCCAGGTATGGTCCCTCACAAGAGGGACACTTTGGTCTCAAGCTTCTAGCAAATGCTTCTCTATAGCCCCAAAGTGGCAAGAGCAATGCACCATTCCTGAAGGGAATCACACCCACATTCCATCATACAGGCTCAAAGCCCAAAAACAGGTAGTGCCACCTGGGCTGGAACTGAAGGGGAAAGGAGAAAGGCATGTGTTTCAGTGCCAGCCAAGCCCAGAACCTGGGGCAAAGAGGGGCAATCTAATCCTTTGGGGTCTTGGGAGGTACAAAAACAAAAAAAGCCCAAAGGGCAATAAGAGGCAACCCACTTCAAACTTCGCCTATCTGGGCTGTGGCACCACTTGCTCCTCCTCGTCTGTACCCTGCAGCAAGTGAGCACGTGCTACTCCTTAAGGACCACTAAGGCCATCTTCCAGCCCTAGTTCTGGGGAAACCATCTGCTTTTCCCAGATACCAGCTTGCGACCATGAGCTTCAGCTCAGCCTCTGCTGCTCACAGACTTGAGCCCATGCCAGGTGCCTTCGGCTCAGTTCCTTAGTGCAGGTGGTTGATTGATTATGACTTGAATGACAAAGTCCTTTTGGATCTTGGTCTCCTGCAGGCGGGTTCTGTCTGTCAGAAGTTTCCCAGAGAAAAACCAGCGCTGCCAGGCAGGCTCCAGTCCTTCCTGGGCATACAGCTGCTTCTTCAGCTGACCAATAGTGTCAGTCATGCTGGCACTCAGACGCAGGTCCTTGCCAGTGGACAGGCGCACTTTGAGGGGGAACTCACGCCGAGTGTTGGGTGCTGGCTCGGGGGCATCCACACCCTCCTCCTCGCTCCGCTCCATAATCAGGTTGACAGGCGGTGCCAGGCAATAGACAGGGAGCTGGTATCGATTACCTAGTTCATCGTAGCACTCAGTGAGAGAGCCTGCAGAAGGAAGACACCAGCAGAGGGCGTGAGAGGCTTACAAAACAACCTCTCCCTAAACTATTTTGAGGAAAGGAAAAGACTTTCAAACATAAGCTTTCCCTTTTCTCCAAGAAACTCTCTTTCCTGAATGTGCAATGTTTCTTGGACCTGACTAATATCTCTCTTGTCCTAGACTCCTTCCAGAGCTCTGGTGATCCTTCAAATTTTCACATAAAGTCCTAGAACCAGCCACATTCTCTTCCACTGGAACACAGAAGTGGATTTATATTGTGTCAAACCACTGGTCCATCCAGCCCTATATCTAGTCTCTTCCCTGAATGCATGATGCCCATGAGGGTACCAAGAGCCCTCCAGTTTTGGACAAGACTCCTTCCAAACTCATCTAGAGAGTCCCCCATTCATACCCACTCAAGTACTACGCAAAACCCTAAACCTGGCTTCAGTCATCAGATGTAGTGCTCTGGGGTGGTATGGTGGCTGTCAGTGGCCCGAGAACTAAAAGCACTGCCCACCAGCCATCCTAGCACACAAGACCACTTGCCATTCTTCTTTTTGACCCACTAGAGCCTGCTATCTTCCTACTGATAGACATGAGAATACCTTTTCATAGTTTTTTGACAGGTACCCTTACTGAGCCTGACGGGCAGAGAGGCTACCAGTTCCATAATCTCTTGCAGTTCCCACAGGTCTTAGTCCCTCCCACCCATTTCTACTTTTTATTCTTGAAAAAGAAACTAAGGCTGGTGGGCCTTTTATTCTTCAACAGTAAGTAATTCCTGTTAGACATGTTTACCACAATGGGTACCGTACACATAGTAGAGGAATGTGACCACTCCTGGCCTCCCAAGTGTGCATATCTGTATAAAACTGTAGTGAACAATATTCATGCATATGTATATATACACCTACAGTGAGGCTGACTTGAGGAGTCAAGACTCTTGAGATATTTACCTAGTTAGATATGCCTGGTTTTACTCCCATTATAAGGCACAGCTTTTGGGCAACCCTAGAAATGGGATGGGTAGGGTTTAATCCTATAAGACTTATGCTTCTCTGCACATACCATGGGGCAAGGTGACTCCAGCACCATCAATAATGGCCTGTGCCAGCCCATGATCATTGGACTCCACAGCATAGGCAGCAGCCTTTAGCGCATCCCAGATCTCTTTGCGGCCCTCAAAGGCAGGTGCAGTGTCCCAGAATTCATCCCTCTTGCTCCGTAGCTGTCCATCTGTCATAGGATAATCACTTTTCCATTTGGGACGATCTTTCTTCAAGGGTTCATTTCGACCTGCAAAAGGAAAGGACAACTTCAAATGCAATCCAAAAGTAGAAATTCTTATGGGCTCTGGCTCCTTTCCTTCTACAGTGACTACCCTATTTTTTTCTTTCATAAACAGGTCCTGGCAGGGTAAATTTCACTAACCTTTGGCATAAATTTTGCCCCCACTCCACCTTGGCCGTGTCTCTTTTTTCAGATATATGGCAGAGTCATGTGACCAGAGACAGAGTTTTTTTTAAAAAAAATATTGATGTGGATTGTGGTGTAGTGCAATATATCCTTCACCATACCATATTTACAGCTCAGAGAATCAGCCAAGAAATAAGCTCTAGAGCTAGTGCTGACTGATTTGCAAGACTGGGGGAAATGAACCAATTCAAGACAAGGCTCTACAGAGAGAAGTCTGTGCAGGTTGGGTTTTTTCCCTGGGTATGACACTGATTCCCAGATGACTTTCAACTCTTTTAGAGTAGAGACAAGATTCAAATACCAGCGGATATTACCTGAAGATATCTGTGTGTGTGTGTTACATGTGTCTTTTATTCATCCACCAACACGCTTTTACATCTCTACATATACACAGTACATTGTATATATGTGGATTTATGTATGTGTGTACATGTGCGTCTTTCACACTTACACGCAAAGTAAGTAGACAGTGAAGCAATTCAGGCTACAAGAGCCTGAGTTATGAAAAACACAACGGAAAATAGCAAATTTTCTCTAGGCTCATTTGGAATAAAATTTAATAGGACTGACATTGAGTATGACATGGGAAAGTATGCATAAAGACAACAGTTAATTTATAATATCAGCACTTCCACTAGTAGCCTAGGCAGATACAAAATCACAAACAAAACATATACTGTACTAGCTTCTGTGATGCTGTAGTACAGAAAGCCAGTATTATTTTCAAGTCATACCAGCAAATATGTATGATATTTCTAGGGCTAATATTAAAACTAGTAGTAATGTTCAATGCTAAGCAGAAAGGCACCTCTCCCTTGGAGCAAGGTCAGAAAGACTCAGCTTCCCACAGAAGTGAGGGACAAGCGTGCTCCTTCCCTGAGAAGCTCAGCCTAAAAACGTCAGGGGACCTGCGCAGGCACAGAAGCAACTTGATAAAGTGGAGGTGTAGGTGGGGATAAAGAAAAATATCCAGACTGCTGCTTTAAAAATAATAGAGGGATTGCCATCTACCACAGTGTAACAAATACTACCAGCATTCTTCATAATTAACAGGGAAAAGACACCGTTCCGAAGTATAAATCTCTGTGGAAGGAATTCTAAAATGCAGTTTCACGTTATAATTGCTCCCACAGCAGCACATTAGGACAACCCTCTAACAGAAACATGGTTTGGAGTTTATACATATACAGTAGAAATGATTTTATTTTAAATGAGTGTTTAGTTTTTTGGCCACTGTCCCCAGAGTGACTCAGAAATGTTCATTAAGTACAATTTCATTCTAAAATGTTCTAACTGTAAAGCCAGAAATGGATTTAGAATTATTGGGATTTAGAATGAAATTTAAAGAAATTGGCTCAAAAGACATCCGAGCGAGAAGGGACAGAGAAAAAGGAAACAAGCTGAAAAACAGTATTTTAAAATGCTCAGGGCAACAAAAACAGAGGCTAGGACACTATGGTTGTTACAGATTTAAGGTTTTACGCTAATCCAAAGCAGTTCTATGACTAAACAAGAAAAGGAAAGGAAGACAATGTGTAAAATCAAAAAAAAAAAAAAAAAAAAAAAAAGGTGAGGCTTTCCCTGAACCAATAAAACAGCATCAACAGGCAAGCACTACCAGGACTCTTAACTCTAGATGGATACAGTACTGCAGACCCTGGGGCAGGTAAAAGCAACAGAGAAGAGATGCTGAAGCACATGTAGTTAAAGCAACATTTCAAGATGGTGTCTGTGAACCTAAAGAATCTGTTTGAGGTGTGTTGGTAGCATCTGGTTTCACCTCAGGAGTTCTGTGACAGTGCCTATCTTTGCTCACCATCCCTCCCCCTCCTCCCCAGCCATCACCATCCTCTTCCACAAGGCAGTTGATGCTCATGGCTGCTGCCACTGTGGTCAGGGAGAGGCTAGTCTAACTAATTCAGGAATGGGCATGTGATATGTTTGCTTGCTTCCTGCTCCTTCCTCTCTCACACAAGGCACTTGTTTTACGTGGTTGCTGTGGTGTAGGGGGAAGGACAATCTGTAATCGGGTGGGAAACAGGGGAGAGAGAGGAGCAACGCTTAAGACTCCTTTGCATGATGATCTGAGTGAAAATCCAGATCAAATGCTGCCTCACTGCATTTTCAAACTCTTTTCAAATTAGAAGTTTCTATAATATCTATATCTATAATATCTATACCCTTCTAGAGTGGGGAGATGATAAACAGGATCCAATGCCTAAGTTAGAAGCCTTTCATTTAGGTCTTCATGTTATACAGTTTGAATACCTTGTCACACATACATTATTTATCATTGTAAAATAACATATTCCATACTCTATTTTTCTCAGTTTTTCAGGGGGAGAGGGGAAGGCTTTGGAAAAAAATGGGGGAGGAGGAGAATGGTTCCCCCCCCCATTTTCCTGAGTTTTTCCCATCTCTATGCCTAATACATTACAAGTTCAGTGACTAGACACAGCTTCTATATTCCTAGGAGTCTTTCACCCATAACTCAACTATCAGAAACCATTCCCATAAGCGACATCCAGAAGCAGCAGGAAAGAGATCTCAGATGCAACCTGAAGGCTGCTCTGAGTGACAGTTTGCAAGCAAAGCTATTAACTGTAGCACAGTAACAGAGTGCACGCTTTGCATGAGAAGGTCCCACATCCTATCCCTGGCATGTCTAAGCAGGGCTGGGGGGGTGCTCCAAAATGAGATTTTCTTTAAGGTGAATAGGAGAAGGGGTGGTGCTTTTTATCAGGATTTATGCTGGGGAGGGAGGTTTCATCCTTGCTGAGCTCCCAATTAAAACTGGGCCTCATTATGTCTGCTATGACATTTCTAAAAACAAAAATACTCTGATGTGGTTCCAAGTCATGTGCCTGCCATCATGTGTAATCTGGTCCTCAAATTTTGGAGAGCCGCTACCTGTCAGTATGAAAAGTATTCTACTGGATGGACCTATGATCTGATAACTATGAGGGAGTTTCCCATATTTACAAGTAGCCCTCAGAATATTCCTTGCCTAGAACCTTATTGTCATTTCAGTCTCCTGGCAGTACTCAGTGCAGAACAAACAGCAAAGAACAGCAGGGTAGGGTGGGAGAAATGTGGAGGAAGGAGCTATTCTGATCTGACACATACCTTTCACACACACAAACACACAAATCTCATCAGCCAAAATACTGCCAGGATATAAGCAATTAACCAACTATATTCTCTAGGGCACTAGATAAAGCAGGAAAACCTTGATTGGGGTAGTAGCTGCAGTTTAATGAGAATAAAGAGACCCACAATACAGTATATCCAGCGAAATAGACCAATACGTACATAAAGAGATTCATTAACAAATGTCAACTCTTTTCTCTGGAACATGACAGAAAGTCAGGTATTGCTGGGAGCAATGGTTACACTCCAGACACCAAACAGACAGTCACTAGCCAGATTCCAAAAATTGGAGAGTAGAATAAAGAAGGACTCCTTTCTTTGTTGTTGTTTAGTCGTTTAGTTGTGTCCGACTCTTTGTGACCCCACTAGGACACCATAATCCCAGTATTCATGAGATCACAAAGATTTCAGGGCTCAATAACAGCAGCCCTTCCTCACTCCTTCCCCACCATGCATATGAATCCTATCAAGGATAGAGAGGCTAGGCATCAATTTCTGAAGGCAGAAATTCCTCCATGGAGCCCACTAGAACAAAAGCACTGACCGACTTCCATCCCCCATCTCATTCCTGTTGACTCCTAACCCCACCCCCACCCCCAAAATGACCACACAACAGGATCTGTCATCATCATTCCTAAGTTACCAGAAATGTCTTTTATGGGGCAGCTGCTCGTGTGCTGTGGGGGGTCACTGTCTTCTCCAGCAAAAGAGATCATAAACACTAATTGTTTCCGAAAATCAATGCAATACTGTTTGGCTCTTATCTAGCAACAACCTCTACGTGGTACTTGCAGGGGTTGGAAGAACAGGGCACAGACATGAACAATGAAGGCTGTGTATATTCTGCACCAAGAGGTCCAAATTTGGTATCTCAAATAAATTATGAAAATCGTGGAAATATTCATGCCTTCTCTAATTTTGAAGATTTTACTCTACTCCTAAAATCTGAATACTCAAATAGATTAATTTTAAAGGAAGCTACAGTTTTGAGGCATAAAAAGCTTGAAAAGTAGGGAGATAGGAATACATGGACAGAAGCCAGGGAAGTATACATGACAAGGGAAGACCAGAAATCCTGGCTGCCTACTCCTACCAGTTGGATGTCTTGCACAGCCTCTTCTGGTTTCTAGGAATTCACCTAGCACTGCCTACATGAACCAGCTTTTGTTCCTAGCCATCACTCACAAATGTGTTGTTTTAAAAGGAAGGCAGAGAATTTGTGGATGCCAGATTCCGCGACAGATTCCATGAGTGCAGGACGAAATCACAGACACACAGAATAAACAAACACTTTCTCAACAATAACTCCCAGCCCTCTACAATGCCATTTGCCCTTTCATCCACCATGGAGGGGGCGCTTTAGATTCAACATATGGGAGAGCATTCCATGTGCCCCCCCCATCGTACACTAGGTGTATTACTCAGTTCCCTTTGAGAAGAAAGAGGAGAGGGACAGCTTCCTGAGTTGACCCTGCCCAGGCTAGCTCTGCAAAGGGATTTATCCTCAAGTCAGCTGTGTAAGGAGCTTGTGCTGCAGATTTAACTCTAATTAGGGTAGTGGATGGAGAGTAAAGCCAGGGGCAAGACATGTTCTCAGAAATGGAGAACAAAGCTGAAAAAGCAGGAGCCAAACAAAGCAAAACTCACAAAGCAGTCATCTCCGTACTGAG